TTTCAATATGTTATTATTTTTCTTCGTTAGTTTTTCTTGCATTGCGATTAAGAAACCTGCAAAAAACTCACCTTTGGCAAGGATTTCACAATATTTCCAAATTGGAATGTAAGAGCCATCAATGAAGATACGGATAGGGTGATTCTGGCAGGTAGTGCTTTTGTATCCATCCAGAAAGCAATCCAAGATATGAATACAGATATGTAGGTGGGTAGATACATTTGAAGGATGTAGAAACCGTAGAGACGTTCGAAATGGATGGAGACGGAGAGGCGATGCCACATTCCAGCAGTGTAGGCCTGGAAATCAGTGTTTTCAGTTTTGGATTTGTGATAAATTTCAAAGAATCTATATAACTGTAATGGTATACTATAACTTCTACCGTAAAATACAGTAGAATCTGAAATAGTAGAAAGAAGTGAACTTAGTATTGCAGATCCAGAGATTCAGAGTATCTATGTTGCATATGTGATTTTCAAAATGTAGTCAACTGAACAAATACTTACCAATACATTCCAAACGTTTTAAAACTCATGGATTACTCTGAAAGTAATCGAGATATGCCGCTCTGAACATACGGGTTCTCAATTAGTGAATTTACGGTAACAATTACTCCATTAAATAGAGAATATTTATAATTAATTACTTCTAAGAAACCTTGGATCACATGCGGATTACACAAACATCAGATTTTCAAAATTTACCCTGAGTATGTTACAGTATTTTTTGACCAAACGACTAAACTAACCTCCGTGATACTCCCATACGTAATATTTGTCATTCGAAAATCCGGCAAATTATAATCACTTCTCACTGTAGATACTGGTGACCACTCCAACCACTGCAACTCCACATCCGCAGCATTATAGGAGTAACTCTCGAAAACCAATGAACATCGAATACTATCCAATGGGAAATTCCTCAGGTTCATCTGACACGGAGCCTCTGATCGAATACGGTAGTTGAGCCAAATTGTGCCATTTGGAAAGATCATCAGAAGGATGTTGGGTTTAGGAGAATCGTGGACTTTGGTGGATTTTGAGTTGACTATACAGACATTTGGTGACCAGAGCTTTGGTTCCATATCATGGTCTAGAGATAGGTTCTTCCGGCAAGGATCCAGATGGGAGAATGCTAGTCTGAAATTAAAAAACCGATAAGAGAAACTAGAATATCCAGAAAATGTTTACCTCTTATCATTCCATATTGCACTGATCCAATAATCTATCGTGAACGTTCCTGTTATAGCCGAAATATCCGAAATATCTTGAATTGTGATTTCCACTTCTACTTTAACCGGAGCAGGTTCTGGGAGAGCATTCCTGGAGTAGTTGGTCATTAAGATCCTGGCTAAATCGGTGGCTTTGGCACCGGAAGAGGAGGATAGACCGATGTCATCGCATGTGAAGTCTTCAATGTGTTCGTAGGTCACATCTGGAAAAGGTTGGTATACTCGACTCAAAGGACAATTAATCATTTAAAGCTCGGAAGTGGAAGCTTCGAATAGGAGGTGAAACAGAATTCTTAAGAATTATTTCCTACAGTTCTCAGGTGCCAATCAAAACACAAACATTCGGGAAAATTTGGGAGAAAACTTGATATTGAGTGGAGTAACTATCTGGATTTTTTCATAGGAAATCGAAACAGTAAAATTTTTAGTGGTTTTTTTAACATCTTATCATTAGTATCCTGAAACAAGTACTGAGCAGAAGTTTCATTTCTATTTATTGGATGACTTCTGCTTTATTTCTGTTTAGGATGTGCGTTCGAGGGTCGTCGTACAGGATTTTTTCCATTTCCAACAGAGAAAATTGGCTAGAAAATTATTGAGAAATCCCACATTTTTCAGTTTCTGTTCCTCTTTTTACCGAGGATTCTTTCACCTGTTTCACTGAATTATTTCTAATTGTTGGTTGCTTTAATTTTGTGCTTTTTATTCAAAAACCCAACTTCTGTTGCACCTATCCCATAAAGTTCACCCGACCATGATTATCCACTTCTATCATCTCTGACGCATTATAAGAAATGACTCACCATGTATCCTTGCCGACATGAGAATCGTTTCGATGAATAACGCCTGAAAAAGGGTGAATTGTGACAATTGGATTTAAAGAGCCTCAAGGAGAGGAAATAGGAAAAAGGAGGATCAAAAAGCAAAAAGCACTTTTTTAAAGGAAATCTTTTTGTTCTTTGTAACTCTTTGAGTGATCCCTCGGAACCTTCAAACGTTTTTTACGGTTTCGTGAAGTTTATTTCAAAGAGGGCCGTTAAAAGTGAAGCAATTCCATTCTGGGTCCTTTGATTTTGGAAAATTTTCTCCGATTTTTTCGAAAAACAAGAAAAATTCTAGAATTTGTGAATTGTTAAAAATTTTTGAATAAAAATTTAGGTTTGCTAGTGTTCCTAAATGTTTTTGACCAATTTTGAAACATTGTTCCAGTCCTAAATGCAAAACACAAAACTGCTCACCTGGATACTGTAGATCATGAGCCTAGCGCAAATCCAACAAAATTCATAGATAACCTTCCATCACACTTCTTCGTCACGTGGTTCAACTTGCAAAAAAATCCAAAGTTTTTTTGTTGCAATTCAAGTTTTTTTCAAAAAATCCTCACTTTATCAAAGCGAGAAGAAGAATATAGAAGACGTCAGAATATAAAGAGTCAAGGAGGGAAAAAGGGGTCCCCTCCCCGCTGAAATTAGGTTAAAATGGATTGGGTAAAGTGTGGAGAAAGGGGTAGGGGCAAAGGGTTGACACATGGGGGATGAAAAAGAAAAGGACCTCCCCCACATACACATCATGTTTTTAGAGGAGAGAGGAATAACTTGACCTAACATGGAGTTTTCTGGAAAACGTGGCTTGGAATAGCACTTTGGGATGAAGAAAAGTGCAAGGCACACTTCAAACCTGTTTTGAGACCCAAAAATGACAAGTTATCTCGAAAATTATACATAGAGCACACTTTAACGACGAACGTTACTCCGATAAGTGCCCTCTCATGCCCTCCCATCTTTTTGTTTCTCTAGTCTTTATGCCACTTTCTTCTCCTTTCCGGCGTGACTGCTTGGCGCAATGCACAGGTAAAGCGCCAAGGCCCAACGGCGGCCCAACGGCAGGCGAACGGCCGCAGATGGGTCAACGGCGGCCCTCTGGCAGCTGAGCGGCCGCAAGTGGGCGAACGGCAGCTCAATGGCGGACGAACAACTTTTTGTAAACTGATGTAAATTGACAAATTTCGGAAAATTTCTCATTATTTTGACACTTAGGATGTTTAGAACATCCGATAATATACAGAGGAAACATTTTTAGAAAAAATCAGAAATTTGATTTTGGGTGGGTCAACGGCGGCCCAACGGCAGCTCAAGAAGCGCGGGTAGGCAAACGGTGGCCCAATGGCGGACGAACAGCTCTTTGTGATTTATGGCATTAAAAAAAAATTTCCTGCTTTTTATGATGTGATATGTCTTGAATATCCAACTAGTTAAATTTTTATCATTTCCTTGACAGATATGAAAACTTGATAGTAGGTAGGCCATCGAGTTGAACCACCTAGCATTTTAATTTTTTTATCAAACTGAAAATTATGCTAACGGCGATTTTTAGATATTATCAGCTTGTCACACTACAAATGAACGATTTCTCTCTTTCAATATTACTCACAAGGGAACTTTTTGAGTCGAGGCTACAACCATGAGAAACCATCATCACCAGGTGGAAGAGCTTGTTTGAAAACGCTGTTTTTCACTTTCAAAACCTGTTTACGAAAATTTTTATTTTTCACCAAAATTCGAAGTTTTCATTGAGAGAATTATCAGTTTTCCAGGTTTAGCTGGTTAAACTCCACATAACTCGACTTCTTTTATCGAGAATCGGTGAAGTTGGTGGTTAATTGTTGTATTCTTCCATTTTTGAGGAAATTCTCACATTTCTGACCATTCCGGATTTAAAAAGGTGCTTTTTCAAACCCTAATGATAGTTTCACACTTTTCTTTCGTCCGCCGTTGAGCTGCCGTTGGCCTACCTGCGGCCGCAGAGGTGCTACGACACTCCCAAATCCCGCCGTCGGTCGTCTTTTATCCATCGTGTCACTCAAATTTATTTGAGTTTGTCGCACGATTTTTCGCGTTTTCTACTTCCCTCAATGTTTTTTTGTGAAATTTCTCTGAAAATATGTTACAACTGAATGAAAAAAACAATTAAAGAAAAGAAAAATACCCATTTTTATCGAAAAATTATAGACTTTTGGGTGAAGTCGCCTTGAAAATGTTCGGCGCAAAGTTTAGTTTTCAATTTTCATTTTATTTCGGAAAGAACTGAATATTTCTCTTTTTCAGGTGGAATAAACAGGTAAGTCAGTAAGTTTTGTTTCTTCCGAAATAAAATGATAACTGTTAACTGAATTTTCGGGATGTTTCATTCCGGCACTTTACGAGGCGCTCGGGAAGCTTTCTCTGCCGTTGTCAAAGAATTGTTGTCAAAGTCATCGGTATTAGTGACAAATAAGCATCGACCAATAAAAGCTTTTTTAAAGTCAATTTTAATAGTTTTCGAAAAAAATCATACGAAAATAAATCTTTGGCTTTTTTGCAAAAAAAAAAAAATAATTTTTTTTTGAAATTTTTAGTTTGAAATTTCTTTAAATCCATTTTTTTAATTACGAACTGCGGAATAAGCATATTCAGTCGTAACATGTTATTCGCTATCTTCATTGAGGGGAATTAGAAAACGCGATCGAAGGTGAACTTGTGAAAAGAAGAGAACGAAGGAAAAAGTGAACAAAAAACACATTTTACATATAAATAGTTGTCTAGTGGGAACATTGTTCCCCATACGAATTGAATTTATGAATATCTATATATCTATCTAAAGCCGCTGGTCGGCGAGTGCTGCCCGAATGACGAACCGCCGGTAGGCCAACGGCGGCTCAACGGTGGGTCGCAGTTGGTCCGCCGTTTGTTCTCCCTTCGCCTACCGGCGGCCCACCGTTGGCCCGCCGTTGGGCCGTTGCGCTTTACCTGTGTGGTAGCGCGTTCGACTCCAGATCGAAAGGTTGGGCGTTCGATCCGCTCAGTGGTCAAAAGTTTTTGTTTTTTTTATGGGATTCAGATGAATGTTTGTTTCGTATCTCTACTCTTTATAATTAACAAAACCAAATTCAAATAAATTCATAGTGAATTCGCGAGAAAAAAATCTCATTTTTAAGGCGCAGCTTTCTGCGTCTCGTTTGGACCGCTTGCGTCTTTTTTGATACAAGCCTGGATCGTTATGTGCAAGCGTTCTGAATGGCCCTTGAGATCTTATCTTTAAAAGAATACACGGATTGAATTGCAAAATATTTATGTACTGAAAATCAGTTTGAAACAAAAACAGACCAGAAAGAAATAAACCGTGTTAGAAGTTAGAATCAGATAAGCTTACAGATAAGCTGGTAAAGATAAGCTGGTCAGATAAGCTGGTAAAGTTCAACACTGAACGATATCCCATTTCATTTGATCTGCGTCAAACATTTCGATTTCCTCGATCAATTCCCACTTGTCTGCCTTTCCTCTGATTGCATAAATCGTTTCGTTGGTTGCATGAAGTGTGAAGTATTTTCTTGCTTTGTTCATTGATGGAATAGAGGGAATGTGGCAACCATTGAACGAGAAACGATTGATACAAATGGCAGGAGCTCTGTCAAAATAAATTAGCAAGAAGAAAACTTTCATAGAATGACAGAAAAATAGTTCTTTTTTTGAAAATTTATCTTAAAAACCAAGAAAAACAGAGAAGAATCTATGGGAACGTTGAAAAAAGGCCAGTGAGAACGAAAAAAGAGTCGTACATTGTTTGTTTAGTCACCACACACCCTTTCCCTAGGTGGCGTTTTTGTTTGTTCAACCAATTCAGCCGAGCGACCTCTATGGGGAACTGTTCGTCTTACGAGAATAATTTGGTAATTAATCAAAGATAAAACGATCGAATGAGCCATAACCTGAGTACTTGAGATTGTTATATTTGACCATTCTTCATTAAAAAAAACCAAATTAAAAAAGTTTTCCTGAGTTGGGGTGCAATGACTAGGGTTAAATTTATACAATATAGACCAAAATCAAAATATAAGAACTAAATGAACTTAGATAGGGATAACAGTCCACTCCATTCGATCCGGATCGAATCGCTCAACTTCCTTGATCAATACCCAGTTGTTTGCACATCCTCTGATCGCGTAAATTGCTTCACTGGTTGAATGAAGAATGAAATACTTCCTCACTTTATTCATTGATGGTTCATCTCTCCAGGTTTTAGTTTTCGGGTCGAAGCTTCTTACTGATCGTAGAGTGTTCGATGTTGTGTTCCAACCGCCAGCAATATAGATTCTTCCTCGGAATTCACATGCTCCAAATCCAGCTCTCCCTCCTTCCATGCTTGCGAATGACTCAAATTCTTGAGATTGCTCGTTCAGTTTTTCAATCATTTTCTCATAAGTTTTTCCGTTGAATCCACCGAGTACTGTAATCAAAAATTAGAAAAAAAAATTTCGACGGGTGCTAATTACCGAAAATTTCACCATTCCAGGGAACTAGGGCAGCATCTGCTCTTGGTATTTTCAATGATGGGGCTTCGGTCGACGCTCCGCTTTGCACATTTAATATCTCCACAGAATTCAGGTAATTTTGATCAAAACCTCCCGCTACATATAGGTCATGGTTATGGAAACAACCAAAAGGTCTTGTACGACAATGTTTCATTGGATTGCACTGGAAATATTATGAACTATCACTTCTCGATTCCAAGAATTATACTCACAGTTCTTCTCACATTCGCCTCTCCATCATACACCTCTACACTTCGAAGGAACTCTCCATTATACATTCCACCAAATATAGCAACTTGTGATGATTTGTTAATAGCCACTCCATAGTTCACTTTTGGACCTGGCATCCTTCCGATTGAGGTCCAAGAGTTATCAGTCGGGTTGAATGAACCAATTAGTAGAGACTCTCTAAAAGTTTGCTTGCGATCTGAAGAAATCATTTTCATGGATAAAAACTATCAGGATAGTTACCAGCTACAAAAATGGGAGCTTCCTTTATTAAGTTTTCTTTGATGATTTTATACAGAGCATATCCATTATGTGGCACATCAGATTCCGTTATAGCTCTTGTCATAGATCTCCAGACATCGTTGGGTAAATTGAAACCGACAATCGAGGAAAGAGAGTTTCGTAGAGCTGAAAAAAAAACATTTTATTTCTAAATTTCCATTGTGCACTTACACTTCTCGAGTGCTAAGGATTCCATTCCACTTGTCAGCTTCGATATCAATACAGAGTCATGGTCCATGTGCTCAGCACTTTCACAATTTTCACACGTCACCATTTCTCTGGCTTGTTGTAAAACCAGTTCAGTATTTTCGAGGTTCAAAATGTAATCCTTCTTGACCTCATCATAACGGAGTACTCCAGATACCACTGCACAAGTGAAGCAGCAACGGAGTTGCTCGGATTTTCGTCCGCATTTTATACAACTTACATTGAAATTGGACATGATCTGTTGATAAGATTTTGATTGGAGCAGGAAAAATCGTTGGAAGGTTTGAAGAAATAAGTGCAGGAGAGTGAAGGAATGGTTCACTTTTCACGATGAGGAATGTTTTTGCTAAGAGTTATTTTTTTTAATGTCTCGTGTGCATTGGGAAATGTTCCTAGTGAAGACTGAGCAAGTTTTCAGAGAGCTTTCAGAAAGATGTGGATGGGTGTGAGGCGATAACAAAATCCAATATTCCGATTATTGTTCAGAATTACTTGTCAAACTTGTTTTTACAGCTATCTGTGCTAGAAAGAGATGATGTCAAATCTAGGCCTAATTTTCAGATAGGAAATTTCAGATAGATTTCATTCTACATTGTCTAGATACTTCCCTAATAACTCCAAGACCTCATATTGTATCATAAGAAAACATGAATATCGAGACCCCCCATTCAGTTGCGAGGAGGAATACGTATTGCTAAGCGTAAGTTTTGTCGTCTATGACTTATGTGTACTCTCTCGTTTCGTATTGAGAAACCCTGCATAATTAACAGTGAGCAAGACCAACAATCGATCAAAGATCATTTTATAGATCTAGGTTAATTTGGAAATATTATTAGGTTGTAAGGAAAGTTTTGCACCAAGATTACAGTTTTCAAAAATTTTTCCGCCTTTCTCACCAATTTCTTCGGCCAATTTCTGAAGTTAAAAGGTATATACTTGGGCAGTAATCGTATGCCATTATGACAGCAGTTCCCAGTAGAACCTTCCTTTCATGACCCACCATCAACGTAACAATACTTCCTTTTCGGGAAGATTCGGCATTGGCTCTTTTGATGGTGGTTTTCCGCGAGGAAGCCAAAATTTTTTTGCACGGTTAACGTACGGAATTCAGTTTTTATTACCAGTAGGGAGATGCCAGAAAAAAATCCTTCCTGCGTAGACGGAGAAGCGAAGACTAAGCGGCATTTACCTTTGCTGTCAACTGACAAGAGTGAAATTCGTGAGGAACTAATGTCGACACAACTTTTCTGTAACGAAGAGCCTCCAGATGTCAAACAATGGTGGTTTAGCAACAGGCAAGCTTCATTGACAATTCACGTGTGCTGGCGTCCGGATTGCATTCGAGGGCTTCACGGAGATCATCATCATTCAGATCAGATGAGTGTTCAGAACGAGGTTGATTTTCAAACAAAATATCTCCGGACTGGAAACGTTTGAAGAATCGATTGTTTGTCCATCTACTTAGTACATCTTCCTTGAACGCAGCATGAATATTGGCAGTCGCTCCGGCGACACTACGGTCTTGGAGAAACGCGCAATAGACAATGCCTCGAAATTGCTCTTCGCTTAGAGCTGTCATACTTGCCTAGTGGAAAGAGCTGCGCGCATATAAATTTCATGGATAAAAGTTTCTACAATATACTAGCTTATTATAATATTCAGAAAAATTCCGGAAACTTCCAGAACTTTCTAGGTCAAAAAATTTACATTGGTGCAAAACTTTCCTTACAACCTAATAAAAAGATTCCAGATGTGATACTGAATTTGTTTTCAATCAGAGTTATTTTTTTCACACACAAAAATACTTCTAGATACAAACTCTGAATGGAAACATCACATACAAAACACGTGCTTATCACCAAGCTTCAGAAACTTGAGACTTGGTATTTCACAAACTTTTGAACGTATGAACTTCATTTTTCGGTTTTGAACTAGCAATTTTTTTTAATAGATAAGATCTCAAAACATTCTATATAAGGAGTGATAAGAGCGTAGAAAATATAGTCGTTCACTTCTCCACCAAAAGATCAACGAAGCTGTTCAACTATGAAGATCTCCCTTGGAATCCTCATCCTCGTCTTCGCTCTGGTTCATTTGGGTAACACTTTTATGGTTGGCGGCGAACTCGATACTTCGGCATTCATTAAAGGGTTGAATGGTTTACGTTTGAAGATGTCCCAAGAAGGGAAAATTTCAAATATGAATGAACTGGTAAGAGTGCTTTGACTCTGATTGAGTTACTTCCAAAGATTCTTCAGAGTTGGGATGACAATCTTGTGACAAAAGCTGATAAACTGGAATGTGATAATGGGAATGATGATGGCCCGACATTCAACGTCATGGCTCTTCCTACTGAAAACGATATGGAAAAGTTTTCTGGACTTTCCGAAGAAGAAGCGAAGATGAAAATGATTGAAGGATTTATAGTTCCAGTTCACTCAAAAGTTGGTTGTACAAAGCATCGTTGTGGACGCGAAGATCGTTTTTTCTGCGCTTTTTCACCGAAGTAAGTTTCAATATAAATTATTCCAAATCTCAAAATTGGTGCTCAGATTTGATATGAGTAAGAAGTTATCTAAAAAAGGACGGCCAGGAACAGAGTGTGCGAGTGGATCGAATAAAGATGGATTGTGCAAGCCTGGGCCATCTGAGTCAGCAGAAGCAATTGAAACTCCAGAACATATGAGTAGTGGACCGGAAGTTGATAGAAAAATGATTAGTGGTGGACCGGAAGATGATAGAAGACCCAACGAAATGAAGGCGAATTTCGATTCAGTCAGTTC